TATATATATATATAAATATATTTTGCAAAACAAATTTCAACGGTTGAAATCAACTACTGACAGTTAAGGTTTCCATCAGAGAGAGTACACCCCCGATCATTCACTTTGTCCGACAAAGGGGCTGAACCTTTCACTATGATCACCCACTCGGATGAATTCTCGGACTGTCCCAACATACCCAGGTTTTGACCCCCTCTAAGGATTTCACTGATTGGCATGTCAAAGACAGTCCAATCTGACACCTAGTGCAGTATCATAATCGAGTCTAGGGGTCAGGTGTAACATTCCAATTTTGTCCATCTATCTCCAAGGTCTAGGGAAATACTAGAATTCTGGTCCGGTTCAGGGYTTCAAGAAAACCCACACTGCATGTACCTCAAGTCTCACCATGGTAGCTGAGACAAATCACCCCAACCAACTTGGCGACACATTAGTATCAGCCTTGGTAGGATAAATCACCCCAGATCTATCCAACGGCTGTGAAGATTCTAAACTAACATGAGTCTTATATGTGTCCAGTTTAAGGGTATTACATAGAAACATACCATAATAACATGAATCATTCTGATTGGAGCTAAGGGCATACACTGTCTAACAGCTCCCACTTGCACTTAGGTCCAATCTAGTATAAGCCGAAGTCACATGCTTTCCACGTGTTTCTCAAACACTTTCTATGTTAGTGGCTTAGTCAATGGGTCTGCTACATTTTCCGATAAACTACCTTTTGAATTAGGACGTTCCCTCTTCCAACTATCTCCCGCAGTATATGGTACTTCCTCTCGATGTGCTTCGACTTCGAGTGGGCTCGTGGTTCCCTAGCCTGAGCAATGGCTCTTGTGTTGTCACACAACAATGGAATGGGTGATGTGTGCTGGGTGTCAAATCCAACCAAAGATAAAAGTCCTGCTCAAATTAAATATTTTTTTAGATAGTGATGAGCAAGGTCGTCTCCACAGGGATTGGGTGGATTTATTTYCAAGAGAAAAGAAAATAGAGGGGTTGTTATAAAAGCAAGGAAAATAAAATAAAATAAAACAAAGCAAGGATTAAATCGATGGGAGGCAACTTCTGATTGAAGGGACAAGTTCAACTTTGATTCTTATCATTGATCATCGACGCAAGGATAAATTCATATGTTTATGAATAAATTGGTTATAGCCATTAACAAGCTCTAACAGCTAGCCTCTACTCATATTATGCGGCAACCAAAACAAACTCTTTGATTGCTTCTCTTATTAATAGACAGTCTTAAACAAGCTCTTAGGATTTAATCTATTAATAGAATTTAGAGGGGAGAGACCCAATTCTGGTCAGCGATCTCACAAGCTCGAACCGTTTAAACCAGATCATATATCTTCCTAACATAAATCGAAAACTTGTCCATAATCAATTATGTTAGTTGCCACCATGATTAAACCTACCAATCATATACGAAATTGGAGGTTCAGTCGGCCATATCTTATTCTCATTGAATGAGAAAGAGATCCTTCTTGCTTAATCAATAAAAAT